ACAACCAGCAATGACACACACAACATCGTGGCTACAGAACTACCTGCGTTCTCGAAAGTGCACCGACTAGCTCTCCAAAAGCTAAGGTTGACCGAAAACGAATTCTACCACATGAAAGACTTGTGAATTATTCGAAAATGAAAAGGCCCATGGGTATCTCCCTTGCAGATGGTCACTAAAAAGGACAGCCTCGATTAGCGTCCAACTGGTGGCTATCAGCGACTTAATGCGAAAACCATTCCTGATCGTTGACCGTTGCCTTACATTCACGATTTAACACCCAACTTGAAAAGTAAAACTGTCTTTTTGAAAATCGGCTTGATTGGAGCGTGTAACCGAATTTCCATCGGTGCCCACGACATTCTTAAAACCACCATCATTACCCTCATTGAAGTCTACGAATTTTTGCGAATGGCTTTAGGCTTGAGGAACGCTACACAAACTTTTCGCAAGCCCATCGATGACGTCTTTCCAGGCCTCAACTTCGTATATGCATATTTAGATGACCGCTTGATTGCATGTCCGAACAGAGAATTCGGTATGCAGTATGCCGACCTTGTTTCCAAATTACTGAGAAAAAACGTTGTATTACTGCAACCATTTAGAAATGTGAAATGAAAACCAACTTCCCACATTTTCTCAGTCACATAATTGATGTCCATAGAATGGACCCTCTAAGAAACAACGTGGCGGCCATTCTGGATTATCTAGAACCTGCCACAGTCAAACAATCAGCAACAATTAACGTCCTGGTAAGTTCTAAGTGATGGTTCTTGCCGAATCAAGCATTACTCTTGAGATTCTTAACAGATCAACTTCGTGGAAGTGAGAAAATCATCAGTTTGGATGACAAATCCAAGACAGCACTCGCCAAGTCATCACGAAACTAACTATGCATGCGCACCGGGAAATTGAAGCACCGATTGCTACCTCGGTAGATGAATTGGACTTGGAAATCAGAGGGGTTTTAAAACAACGAGTAGACAGAGCCATGCAGTGATTCCTGGTTTTATAAGCATAGGTAATAAGAGATTCCGACACTACAACTAGCGACGACGCGGTCAAAGGCGATGACGATCAGTCATAACACGCCTGGCAAACTTTGTCATTCGTCTCAAGACAGTGGCAAGTCTGAGTATCGAGATACAGCACACCTGGCAAGGAACTCTTAGTCATTTATTGCGCCTTATCGCAATTCCAACACCGGTAAAGACTGGGAATTCACTCTATTTACCGACCATAAACTTTTTAAATACTCTCTTCGCTGGTCTTCAGGCTACTGCTGCCATCGGAAGTCTTCGAAGACGTTTCTTCGACAACTCCGAAACTGCTGATCAGACAGAATGGAAAGGGCTGGGAAACTACTATGTGACACACCCGAAGGTGAGGTTCGACATTAATGGCGAAACAGTAATCACGTGATGTCTCTAATACGTCACACAAACTTACACATACAGGTTTTCGTGCAACTATTAAGTTCATAGCAAAGCGTTTCTTTTGCGTGGTGAATACGCTCCTGTGTAAACTGTCGAAAGTCTAAGGTGAGCTTTTTCACAACTCCCGACGCTCATTTTGACCATGTCCATCTTGATTCGGTAGGACCCTTATCAGATTCAAATTGATAAGGATGTGTTCGATCATTCTTAAGTCCAATGTTGCATGCAGACTATCAGCTCTTGTCCAGCAAGGACAAACAGTTGTATAAAACGGTTTGATGACCTGCAATTAAATTGATTTCCGGAATCCCAACGCTACGGTTTGACTAGAGACTGGAAAAAACCAAGTCTATTTCCCTTGTCATATTGAAGAACTTGAGGTGACTTGATCACAGTCTCTAGATTCCTTAATAATATCCTTACATCTGGCATTCCATTTTTCCTATATTCCTAAATAAAAAGTCATCGAAGGAACTTAAAAATAGTCCACAGGTCTGTACGTACTAAACAGTACGTACTTATGAATTTTCAGGTGATTGAATGTACAACTCTCAGGAACCATGATCAAAGCTTCAGTGAGGCTCAAAGATATAGCAACAGTCAAATCAAAATTTCATGTATCATCAATAACTATTTTTTCAAGGGATTTAAATAGTTTTACGAGTTACATGTTTTTATTAAAATTTAAGACTAATGTAATCAGACCGGTCAATGACTAACATTTTAAAGTAATTTGTAATAAATAGACTAACGGTTATATGTGGTCAAAAGGCCATGTATTGAGTCACACACAGAGAGCAAGAGAGCACTCATAAAAATGTGGCGTTGAGCACTTTCAAAATATGACAAAAATTAATTTTTATCACCACTAGAATTTATTGTCAGGAAGAAATTGATGCACAATAAAGAAACCTTCAAAATCATTAGTTTACCAGTGAAATATGTTTCAAAAGAAAACAGAAGTGACCTATTATTTAAATCCCCATGATCTTATTCTCCACTGCTCGTTACGAGATATTCTTAGGAATTAAAATTGTATATATTTATGTACATGAATGGAGCATATCTCAGTCATTCTATTTATTGGGTAAAGTTGTAGTTTAAAGTCAACAAAATATAACAGATAAATGTTGAACTACAATGCTAAGACGCATAGTTTATATGAGTATATAAGATTCTTTGTGAAATCTCCTTGTTAAGTCTATCGAGGCGTCCAAGTGACCTGATTGAGATACGCGCAAAATCGAAGTTCCAAAACAACGATTTGTCTACAAAAGCGGTTCTTTATTATATAAAACAGAATATTTAATTACAAACCTCAACTTGTGAGGTGTCTAGGCGTTTAAACGCGTCGTTCAAGAATGAAAATAGTAAAGGCTCTGGTAGTAGAAAGACAGCCGATAGCTGTGTCGAAATTGGACAACAGTTTATGAGCAATCGAAACTCGAACCAAGAGCAAACGATATGGAAACTGCTGTATTTAAACAAATACACAACTGTGGATGACCGTTACAGTAATTAAAGTACAGTGATAATAATGACAAATACAATGATAAGTACAATAAACATTATAAATATATGTGAACGATTCCGAATGTTACAGTACAACTTGCGTTACAATGTAAATGTGGAAATTGTTAAGGATACAACTGCTTACTGAATATAAATAAGTAGTATAAAACAATAAACAAAGGAGTGGAAGGAGAGTGAGTAGGAACAATGTAAGATAAACTTAACACTCCTTTAATCTTTCGTTAAGTAAACGAGGTAAGAACTTCGTAATAAACATCAATTAAACTTGGATTTCATTTTAATGAGAATACATCGGCTCAGTTTCTAAACGAACACTATTGGATTAGGGTACGTTCACTTGACATACTTTGAATTAGTCAAAAATGAATCGTTTCAGTTATTGTTGTCATTCACCAATACGAACGTCAAGACAGTCCTAATGTACGGAGTTGGAACGTGGAGAACTATTACATCCATCGTCAACAAGATAAAAGCATTTATAAACAGTTGTTTACGCAAAATACTCAACATTCACTGGCCGGATACTATCAGCAACAGCGTTTTATGGGAGAGGACAAATCAGTTTCCAGATAAAGAGGATATTAGGATAAGTTGGAAGTTGATAGGACATACATTGAGGAAATCATCAAACTGCATCACGAGGCAAGTCCTAACTTGGGATCCGGAAGGAAAGCGAAAAAGAGGAAGGCCAAAGAACACATTAAACCGCGAAATAGAAGCCGATATGAAAAAGATGAATAATAACTGGAAAGAATTGCCCAGGGCTGGGTTGAATGGAGAATGTTGGCGTGAGGCCTATACTCCTCCACGAGGGGTAACAGATGTAAGTAAGTAACCAAAATAGAGCAATAAATTCAGTCAGCCAGTCACAACGTAGAACTTCGTACGTACGTACATCAGTTCGAGTTGCCATACCACATTAGCACAGAGATGTAGTTGTCCCATAGTGGTAGAAGTAGTAAGAGTATAAATATTATGTGAAAGATAAGGGTTTGAAGATGTTATTGAAGGAGTATAATACGGTGAAATAAATTTGGAAAGAGAAAAAGTATACGGACATGAAGAATTCAGAAGATTAGAATTTGACAGGACACAAAGAGTGGATGCACCTTCGCCATTGCAAACGATTTTGAGCCATGTCATCCAAGGTCTCTAACTATCGGTTGCTATCGTCTCGCGAATCCCAACCAGGTAGTCTACACCTACCAACATGGCTCAGTCCAGTTGTCAGTGACTTAATGGATTTGTGCCACATTTTGGTCTGGCCGCCCCTAGCTTTCTTCCAACCTACTCCTACACCATAAAGCGTCGCACGTTGGGGCATTTAATGGTTGGGCATACGTAACACGTGTCCTAGCCATCTCAACTGACGAAGTTTCACTACTACATCAATCGATTTGTCATCCTTACCTAGTACCCGTTTCATAACAACTGCATTACTTACCCGGTGGTCTCAGGATATATGATTTATGCTTCGAAGACACCTATGATGGAATACTAGCAGCCTACGAATATCCTCTACTTTTATCAGTCATGAGTAATAAAGTAATTATTATACATTTTTATTTTAGAATTTTTAAATAATGTACTAATAATCATTGTGAAAATCTAATAATCCGATTCAAATGATGAATTATATATATAGAATAACAAATAACATATTAGATAAGAGTTAAGAACACTAAATTGCTAATGATGACAACTTCCAAACAAGATTTTGAAAGTACACCAGATAAAAATAAAATAAACTCTCAGATTTCATCGGTTTCTCTGTTGAAAACTCTTTGTTTCTATTAAGAAAAATAATAAGTTTTTTATTATTTTAAGTTACTAACTGGTGATAATTATCTATTTGGAATATATCAGTTAGTGATTAAATAAAATTCAATGTTTTCAGTGTATGATAATGATCATAATAGTGAATGAAACATTTTTTTGTTTTAAAAAAATACAATCACACAAACACATACATATAGTAACAAACTTTTTTTGAGTAAACAATGAGTAATCAATCAACTTGCTTTAATGATATTAGTCTCCAGAAGTTTTTGTAGTACTATCTATTGTACTTATTACTGTATTAGAATTCTTTGAAAATTTCATTTTAAAACAAAATTTACGAAAGAATCTAATTAATCTTCTTCTTAATTTTTGACTTGACAATAATAAAATGATTGGATTTAAAGAACTGTTAATAACAGTGAAAAATACTGATAAACGTCTTTGTAACGATATAGCTTGGTATTCTATTGCACCAAACAAACTTAATAATGAATAAATATGATAGTATGAATGACTTAAAACAAATAAACTACACATCAATGTTATACTTAGTAGAACAGATTGAACCTGTCTCAGAGATGAAGATGGTTTTGATGCTGATTTATGGGTTGATGTTTGGAGTTGTGAAAATGTTGAAGTATTCCCAATCTGTGTACTACATTCAGTTGTAAATGATGAAGAATTATTAGCTTGAGATTGTACTACTGAATGTTTGATAATGCAGTATACTCGAGAATAACAAGTAATCATTACTACTGAAGGAATTATATAAGCAAATACAAACCAACTGAAAACAAGAAAATTTGCATATTGTGAATCATAGGCTAAATCAGTGATATTACAAGTATCATTTTCATGTTTCACTGTAAATATAAATGGTATAGGAGTTAAAATTGCATGACATAATATAAATGTATAACATATGAAAAGTTCATATTTTTGAAAAGCTTTATATTTTATTTGTAGATAAACAGCACAGAATCGATCAATACTTATCCACATTAAATTGGATACATTCAACAATTCAATTAATTTGGTCCAATATTCAGAAATCCATATACGACATAAAAATACAGCAAACCAATCATTATAATTGCCAATATCCACACTTGTAAATAATGTAATGATTGCAAAAAAACAGGCCAATCCATCGAAACCACATTGTGTACAAAATAGGATGGTAGAAGATTTTGAACCTAAATTTGTAAATGATATAAAGATCAATGTAAATATATTGAATAATACTCCACTAATATCAGCTATACTGGCAAAAATATAATAAACCGATGGTATTACACTATTATCACCAAACATTTCTGTAGATGATAAGAAAATATGTGCTTGTTCAAGTGTAATGTTTAATTATACTGTATTTGGTGTGTGTACATGTTACGAAGTCGAAAGTGAATATGAAACAAAATGATGAACAAGTTCAATTGAATTATTCAATGTTCTTTTTTAAAATCCAAGTTAGATCCAACAACCACGTAACTGATTATTAGTTACGTATTTCTAATTGCTTGTTAGTTTATGTATAATTTTAAAATTGAACATGAAAAGTGGATTTTTTCTTTCTGAAATTCAAAACAATTTTGGAGACTTGGAATGTTGTTAAGTTACATCATATAATTAGCTCGAACTGCAATTTAAGCTATTCTGGTTTGAAGATTATTCTTTTTTTGTAACAGACCATATAATTGGACAGAGCTAAATTGATATCCTGATTTTGAATTGGTGCATCATTTAATGTGATAGAGGTTACGTTTTTTTGGACACTTAATATTTTTTTAAAACTTAGTCAAAACTAATTGGTTGTTTGGATAAATTTTATAGGATTGCATGAGACTGTAGGGAATTTCATACATTTGTCTGCTAAATGTGTCCTTAATTAGTCAATTATATAGGGATATTTATTTATTGATAGCTAATGAGAATGATAAAATATGTCCAATGTTTCCATTTGACGATCCATAAATATCCAACTTCTTTATAACTGAAATTTACTTAGTATTGTTTGTTTGGATCTCCCCATTGATGTTTTTTTAGGACTGCAACTGGTCAATCTCTGATTGGCATATGTGCATACTGTACGTATTGCCTCTATATAGCCTTAATTCACAAGCATGGTAAGCTGACGAGCCCCAAAAAGGACGAAACGCGCGTCCTGGATTCCACTGTTAGCCACTATCCATCTTTGCTTATCTTCATAACTGGATTATAAAATAGAATCATTTGAATTTTCCATCGAAAGAGCATAATAAAATGTATAAATATTCTAAACTTATACGAATATTTGTCAAGGTTAGAACGAATAGCTTGACAAAAATTGGGCGCCGAGTATAGAGAAGTCATTATATGTGAAAAATTATAGACAAGCTAGCTGGACGAAACGTTGTAATTATTTAAATTTCAATCGCTGAGACTATTTCAAATATAATTTTTCACATATAATGACTATTCTAAATCTAGCCTGAAGTAATGTGATAAGTGTAAGCAGAGATAAGGAGATAAGTAGTTGGTTAAAAATAGAAGATGTATAGTAAGGTATAAGAATTTGGATTTATCAAGAAATGAAAACGAATTTCTCTATATCTTTAAGATACTTATAATCCCGGACAATTTTGACTATTATTACTAGGATGATAGTTTTTTTTAGTTGTTTGTCACATTTTTAATTGAATAGAGAAATTAAATTCAGGGACATAGTGAGATGGTGGAGAAGATTTGTAGCTTAGGTGGATGGTTTTGATGGAGTTTTGTTCTCTGAGCTGGATAGTTTGGTCATGGAGCTTTCATCGTCCTTCTGGACGACATCATCAGCACAAACTTCGGGTAGAAGTGAAATGTTTTAATTTCTCCACATGTGATTCACAGCTTATCCTGTGCACCTCGATGTTGATTGGTTCTTGTTGACCTTAAATCTGTCATTGTTTATTTCTTTGTTTTGATTGTATCTCCCATTGAAGATACTTCACTTCTACCCGAAGTTTGTGCCGATGATATCATTCAGAAGGACGATGAATGCTCCACAACCAAACCATCCAGCTCAGAGAACAAAACTCCATCAATATCAGGGACATAGTTTGAATTATTTGTTATTTCACACGATAACTAAAATTAAATCAGGATTGTAATTAGGACTTTGACACTTGAAAGGATGAGAAATTTATTTTTTTGGGAGAGGATAAACAGTATACATAGAAACAGACGATGATTATACTCTAAGCTGTTTATTCATTAACAGTTAATAAACCTTTTGAATAACTCTCAGCAATAATTTGATTGCCATACGATGAATATTGATGTAGTACGTTCAGTAACAATACACTGAAAATTAAAATAAATTGCTCTGTAGTTTAATAAATCGATTTATTAGTGAGATGAAAAAATATGAAATTTTTAGATATTTGGTGATGAGAGCACTTAACCGATAGACCAATGGGCCGGCGACTAGTGGTGTTAATGTCTAATTTCAAACAATCCACCGAAATGAGCAACCATTTCACCAATGTCTTCAGTGAGTTGATATCTCACAACAGACCTGGTTGAACTTCACTGGTTACTGCTTCTCACTAGAACTCCAGGAAATACCTCATGGAGCCAGTCACTAGTGAGCATATGATCATTATTAGAAGGAGGTTTTGTGGAGATTTTAGTAATTTTATGTACTTGAGTTTATGAAAATCTCTAAAAAGCCCCCTTCTGATGATGTTACTTTAGTTGATTACATTTTTCACCTGAAAAATCAAATGTTTTCAATACTATTCCTTTTATCTAATCAGCCAACAGTTAATAAATACATTATTTCTTTGATTATTTTACTCTTTAGAAATATCATTGACATTCATTTTGTATTTTACTCAATTCTGAAGACGTATTTTGTGGCTTTTGTGGATATTATAGTAATTTTAATAGTTGAGATCATGAGGCGGGATCGTGGATGCGCACTGCTGAGTCCCACAGTAGAACGAAACGACCGTCCAGGTTTTCCATGGTGGTCTAGATTCAATTGACTCATGATCTCAACTATATATATATATCAAGTAAATGAGTCATTTTTGTTGATTACTTAAACAAAATCTACAAAATATGATGAATTCATATCATTATGCTTCAAATGTCATTTCTCCTTTCTGAGTAACGCTCGTCTCAACTGATATAGGTTCTAATTGACTTGATTCACCGTAAATGATATTGAACTTACATAACTTTACTATGCTTGAGAAAACAAATAAATCAGATCGACTGAAGTAAAAAGAACTTTTCCAGAATATGCAAACTTAATTACTGATTCTCAAGTGGTTTTCATGAATATGTGAAAAGTATCCGAAAATTTAGTGATATCTTTTTATATTTTTGTTTGAATAAATTAGACTTTTATTATGAGATAGCAAAGTGATAGATGTTTTTTAATGAATCTACGATAAGTAACAGTAGAATATAGCTAGCTATACTATGGTAACTGTTGACTAACATGAACCTTAACATCCACTCAGTTTATACCATCTGAAACTTGATTCTAACAAAAGTAGACTCTCCATCAGTTAATTATTATGTTTAGATCTATTTCTGTTTTTTTACTTAACGTCATAGATAACTATGTAAATAATCTGAATCCACACATAGATAGACTAGATTATTTCACTCATATATACTGTTAGGTTTATGTCAAGTAAAAATTACTAATGTGTCTTTGATCGTATACAGTGGTATCATATTTTATTAAATTTCTAAAAATAGTAGGATACAGATACACACAAATGTATACTCTTACATATCTCAGATTGTAAATGACTTTCACATTAAACATCTGACATTATCAAACAAAAAATAAACATCTTAATACAATCGGACAAGTCTTTAATGTAGTTTTATTCCTGAACCTAATTTATTCTTTCATAGTATTGATTTTAATCATTTCAGTGAAGAAGCTCGGAAAAAATTGCCTGGTGAAACAGTAAAACTATTTAGACTCCAGTACAAGGTGGCGATACTCTCACAAATCATTACTAAAAATAAATTTGCTTTGTCGTACAATAATAGTAATCACGCCTATAATAAAAACATGTGACTTGAATTAACAATACACCATGCCAGCTGATTATGTTCAATTCCAGCAAGTCTTTTCAACTTATAATTTCGATGTAATCGGACAAGTCGCCTGATGGTATAAACAATATACTAAAAAGATTATCGATTTATTTGTAACTAGAATTTTCAATATTGTAATGGTATCAATTTCTCACTAAGCTTTAATACAATGAATGTATTATCATGATATCGAATAAAGTACAGCATGGAGCTTGATTAGAATCTTTTTCAAAAAAAGGTGAATAAATAACTATTTACGTGACTAGTATTTATGATAATTTAATTGTGAAAAAAACAAACAATCAGATCATTTGGAAGTGGTCATGTTTTTTCAATATTGAAAAATACCAGTGCTCAATGAATGTTAAAATAGTATTGAAATTTATTGACTATCGTAACCAATGGTTGGAGACTCTAGGTGACGTGGCTCAGAATCGATCACAATGGAGCAGGTGTATACACTCTTTATCTTCCCTTAAACCTTGAGATTAAAATTGCTTCATATCTGTCTTCCTTCCCATACTATATCCTTATGTACAACCTTTCTTTTATATATTACCACCACTAAACTAACTAGTTCTATGAATCCGGTGTTCATCTTGTTATGCTAACAAGGTATGTCAACTTGGACAGATGCATATATTTACCTGGTCCTACATTGTAGCTGACTGACTAACTATTCAAATGGTTGTTAATCACTAACGTATTGAAAATGTAACTGCTCTGTAACATATAGTGGTATCGTTACTAGTTTACCATAGTAGTTTTACTACATATCAGTGGATAGATACTATGCACATATCATTGATATAAGTTTAAACAAATGACTATATTTTCTCTTTTAATAGTGAAATACGGCTGTGGTTCATTGATAACTTATGACAGAAACCAAAATATCTTAAAGACCTTTGTTCTGTTACTGAATATTTAATTTGTTTTTTTTTAAAAGATAAACTAGCGATTTGATAAAAATATTGTAATAATTACGATGGAAGAACAGATAATTTACTCAAACAACTAATAACTGAGCTCCAGAATAATTGGCTATTGAAAGACAGAGCCACTGGTCAAGTCAGAAAATACATTAGAGAATTATAGGAAAATGAATTATCAATGATAATATTATAATATTTTTGTAGGCAGATGGTGAGTGTTTCAAACGCGGCTGACCATTTTTGTGATGAGTTAGGATCTGACTTCAATTAGATCATATGAATGATTGT